TCTAAATCTATGAAAACAAAGAAAATAGAGTAGAAATGCAAAGAAAAATATTGATATGTAGTATCTATAATGGTATCCTGATGCATATTGATACGCGGATATTGATTTTTTTTTTCACCTCTAAAATGGGCTCTTTGATGGGAGAAGTATACAATGAATCTAGTTCATTCAATTAATGATACACCAACGTGATAACAACCCTTGCATCAGTGCTTGAACAAAAAAGTACAATAGTTCAACAATTTGTATCTTTTTAATGCATCATTAATAGAATGTACTTGATGAATTGAACATTTTCTTCTTCGAGGAAGAAAAAAAGCTATTATAGAAAAATATATAATTTGTTGTACTAAAGTTTGTATCTCAAGGATGAATTAATTTGTTGTCTAATGCTTTGTATTCCTTTTCACAATAGTTTGATATTAATTAAAGTAGCGTACCAATTTTTTTCTCGTATAAAATATCAAAATAAGCATGTCAAATTATATGCTAAAAGAAGGCATCAAAACATTTTAAAATTTGTGATTGATCCAACCTGAATACAAAGATATGAAAGCACCCTAATGCCACTAGGAAAGAACCCTAGAGGGGGAGGACGGTGAATAGGGTTTATGCTAATCTAATCCGATTTATGCTAAATTAAAACTTACTAACAAATATATCCTAGCAAGAATGATATATTACAAATATATGTGCAAGGATATACAAATTAAAACTTACTAACAAATATATCCTAGCAAGAATGATATATTACAAATATATGTGCAAGGATATACAAGTAACACAAGGGCAAGAATGATATATTACAAATATATGTGCAAGGATATACAAGTAACACAAGGGTAAACAATCTAAACTAGATAATGGACAATATAAACAACAAGCAATATACAAAGACGATATAAGATTTGAACATAAAAATAAGTGCGCCAATGAAATCACAAACAAACGATATGTTCACGGAGTTCGGTCCCCACGACCTACGTCTCCGCTCCTCACCTCAAGGAGATCTCCACTATCACACCGAGTTTTCTACGCTTACCCGAAAAACGTTTACACCTCACAACGTCGATTTTTAACGCTCACCCATCAACGTTCATAATCACTCACAATGTAACTACACTAACTACCACCTCAAGTGTTGGTCTCTAGCCCGTGTCTCCCTCAAGTGTTAGGAATTACAACCTATCTCTAGTCATTACCATCTACCTCACTCCTCTTGGGACGGCCCCGTCTCTCACCACACACTCCTCTTGGTGTACTAGTGTAATACAAAGTGAACCTCACAATTAAGCACGAATATAACAAAGTTTGTTCTCTACAAATGATGAGAACTTTATGTAAGCTCACACTCTAAGTCACAAACCCACAACCCAACTTATACGATGAATGTAAATACAATAAGGTCAATGGTTGTGTGTGAACAAAGAGTATCAATAAAACAATTAAACTAAATAATAAAGTCTATCTTATGGAAATTAGAATCAAAATAATAAATAACTAGAATTGAGTTTAAGGAAACTTCTCTATAGATAACAAGAGAGAGGGAGAAGAGTGAATGCTCAAACACCAAAGGATGGTCTCCTCTTTGCTCTTGTGAAAATTGCTTCACAAACCAAAAACCAAAACTAAAACAAACTTAAACCCTTGTTAAACTTTTGTAAACTTGTAAAACAATTTTCTTGGTTTTTTTAAAACAGAGCTGGGTATGAGGGGGTATATATAGGGAACCCCAAAGATCAAGAAAACCCAGGAAAATGATCAAAAAACCAAAACAGGACAAAGGCTGAAAAAACTAGTCGTTACAGCATCAGTCGACTGACAGCTTTCATCAGTCGACTGATGAGCTGACTATTAGAGTCGTTTTCCAGCTCATCAGTCGACTGACGGACCTTATCAGTCGACTGATGACCTCATTAGTTGACTGGTCAGTCAACCAAAACAAAACAAAAACTTTTTGTTATTCCAAGCACTTTCTTCAGTCGACTGAACACATTCATCAGTCGACTGATAACACTGTATCAGCCTGATTAAAACAGAAAATCTGATTTTTAAACCTCTTTTAAAAATAGCAAATAAAATCAAAAAAATATAAAACTTTGGAAAATGATTGTAAACATGATAATACACATGTTACAAAAACTGATTTTCAAAAATCACCTTCCAAATGAGAAAACTCTTTATTTTTCAAAATAGTCCAAAACATGTAAATGTAAACACACTTGTTTTGACATTTTGACTAAACCATGTTTTAAAACTCTATAAACTGATTTTATAGACTTAATAAAATATGTATAAACTGATATTGAAGTCTATAAACTAATAAAATAATATTTTATCAAAAACACCTATATTTTGATAAAATCAACAAATACGTGTGTGTGATTAATATGAGCTTAAAGTATTAACACGCAAGTATAAACCTATACTATAAACACTATAAACTATATACCCAAGCTTGATGAAGGTCTTCAATGAGCTCGACTTGGTACACTTACGGATGAATCTTGAACTTGAATCTTAAACTTGAATTGTATTGTTTCATACCAATATTCCGCCAACCTCCATTGGATATGATCGTTGAAGCGTTATTCCATCCAACTTCCAACTTATTGTTTGTCTACAATAGATAAGAAAACACAAACGCTAGACAAACAACATTAGATGTAAATTGTTTGTAAATCATCATTAAAACAAAAGGACCCAACAAGATATTTGCAAGAACTTGGGAAATTAATACAAACCCCAATCTATTTTTATACTATAAGGAACAGTAGTATATAAGTAGTCTTAACAATAGATTGCTATCAAAATTAGAACAACGCATTTTAAACCTCATCATACTGAATGAAAGACATTTCATTCATTTATTGGTCACCAAGAACTAACACTTTTCTCTCTAATAATATATACATAGTTTGAGATTTCTAGTATAATAATCGCTATCTTAACTTAAAGTTTCCCACTTGTCATACAAAATAATAGAGACTTATGAAGTCATATCTCTAGGAATGAGTGTTAACTCAAATTGAGTATCATCAACTCTAACTCTTATTAGTATTTCTTTTTTGACATACATATATGTTACTATATTTAAAGTTGTTTCGTTGCCTATAAATATAGCTACAACAGAAACTGTTGCGATCAAATTTTTATTTTTGATTAGCAGCAAGGTAGTGGAACATGATAATTTATATTTTATAATATTATATTTTTGAGAGAAAAAGGTTGTATTATTGTTGCATCCAATTTGATCGCAACAAATATTGCAACTTCTTTCGTTACCAAAAAAATATGTAAAAATTCATAACAACAAAGTCAATGGACTCGAATCAGAAAATGTAGATCATTTTCAATTGTAGAAAAAGGAAACACATTGATCTGCAATGAAAATGCAATTCCTGCAACAATATGCAAATTCAACAACTTTTTCAACTAATCAAGTGTAAATATTAGGATCTCTATGTACATTTCCTAAAAAGATATAGATACGCAAACCGCAAGTTTGAAGTAAAATTTTTATAACTAATATTCCATTTAATTGCAGCATATCAAGAGAGCTATTTCTTCTTTGTCAACCTCTTTTTGCCATTGGTTGCCTTGCAAATGAATGTTAATGGGTCTCCTGGAATCGCAACGTCGTCTTCTCTAGTCTCTATAGACTATACATCTTCATTGGAGACGTTGTTTGCTATGAGCAAACACTAGGCTACACTCGCATATTTAGTAGGCCAAGCTCCTGTATGTCAATAATATTTTTTTTCTTTTTCTTCTCCATTTTCTTTGAACAGAGATTAGAGGCGCAAGCTTGATCCCACAATTATTAACTGGCCGAGCCATACATAGGCAAAGATGACTATTTATCTTTTCCTGCTTGTATAAATGCAGATTTATCACATCATTAAATACATGCATTTCTATCTTGCAACCACGCATGCTGGAACCCAATTTCTAACTAGAAGATGTTGCTAGTGTTAAAATGACCAGGACTTAAAATGGCGAAAAGACGATAGATTCCGAGAGGTTTAAGTCCATAATCAGAAGAGAAAATGGGAAGTGGGGAAGATGAAAAGAGCAATGTCTCACGCTTTGCGGCTTAGAAAAGCTAAAGAAAGCATTGAATACTTGATTTACACAATCAGGTGCTGATCAGTGGACATCTCATTGTGCTTTTCTAGTACAACAAGTCAATAAGATGTGGGAATGGAAGCAAGCAGGGCAAATTGCAGATATTTTATACCTTCGATTTAAATAGAAAGAGATTTAATTATTATCTACAGTCGATGGAGCTGGATTAGACTATCTATTTGTTGGCCAGGTCACTACCCCGGCACAGTTGATTGTGGCCGTCAGTATTACGACAAAATGTCAATCACACGTGGTACTTAAAAAAAAAGGCATCTACTACACAAGTTTCAATAGGAATGCTCAAAACTACAAGTTGAGATACACAAACTATCGATACCCTTCATCTGCTTATTAACAATGGTGGACAAAATCAATGCTTAACAGAAACAAACGAAAAAGAAAAGAAATACTACATCTTGGATTTAGCATGAATAATGAAAAACACGAGACAAATTACACAAAGAATTGACACGAATATACAACAATAAGGCAAGAAGACAGCTGACGAGTTCTCTCTGGGATGTATAACTTGTCAGATTTCATCCTCAACAGGAAAAAGTGCATTTGCTCCCTGTAAACAAATCTTCCTCACACAAACATATCAAGAATGCAAGCATATCTAACGTACGGATTTGTAGGTAATGTCATTGACTGTTGATTTATGAGGACTTGTTAATGTCCCTAACTGTTGCGAAGGCTAGTTTCCCAAGATCGCCGATACTCTCTTCTGTGCATCATCTGGGATCTCCCTGCCAGGAACAATGACCTTCAAAAGGCTAGAATACCTGTCCAAATTAAATCTTAATGTTATTCTCCGGATTTAATTATCGAAGCATAACTCATGCATCTGTTAGAAGATAGCTTACTCTTTGGATGTGAACAAGTTTGCATGTTCCGTGATGAAAGCAAGCAAGGCCTGGTCAAGAAGTAAAAAAGTTGTCAATTTTATTAAGAGAAAACGGAGAAACCTTGGGAGCTCATAAGTTCCGAACAGTGCCTCAAATGGTAGATTTAGGAGCTCATAATATGTCCTGACACGATCTAATCTCTGTTGAACTGCTTCATTGTCTATTGATGGGATGGCAGCCAGAGCCTGTGACCAAAATGATGTATAATTAAGTAAACAATCAATTTAGCACAAATCTCAACTCTTAAATAAATGATAATGAACAAAAATGTATTAATATCTTTGTGATAGGTGTCCCTGAAAGCACTAGGAAGTCCACGAAAAGGAATACCGTAACTGAGTAAGATAGTAAATACATAAAAGTAAATGAACACTAACAGTTCCTCTAGAATATTAAAGTATAGTCCCTGCGGTCATCTTTTCTCAACAAAGAATAAATAGTTATCCAGATTCTCAGATTTGTTCTCGCCAGAGATTTTGCAAGCACTTGCACAAAATGAAATTAATAGAAACAAATTAAGAGACTAGAAAGTAATCTCACCTGTTCCAATGCAATAGAATTTCTGCATATTTGCTGGACTCCCAGTAGGTTAATGGATTTCATTTCAGCAAGAAACTGGGCGTAAGTGTTTGCATCATTCACAACAAATTAGTGTGTGGACACAGAAAAGTGACAAATTTTATTAATATGCAGATACTGAAGTAACAAGGAAAAAAACCATAAAGTTCAGATGCTCATATCGGAAATGGACAGGGTCTAATGTACAACCTTGATTGATGCATTAGCTGCAACACTGCATATTCCACCAAATATGTAGTTCCTCTTCAGGTCCGCAACAAATGGAGCCATTTCCTCATCCCGACGCATTATCTATGGGTGCAAGAGAACAGCTAGCTAAGAGAACTTACCCATGAAAAGCTAGAGGAGTAATATGCAGTGCAAGCTCATAATAAATTATAAAACAAGAACTTGAAATGCCATTTCGGCATACTAAAGTCAAGTTCATGCTTCAAAGTACCAAAATAAGTGCTGGCTCATGCTCGGTTATAAATTTTGGCATACATTATTCATTGAATGTTTCATGATACTGTAATGCACATCTAATGAAGAGCAGTTTGATAGACAACATAATTGGGCACAAGTGAATGTTCTAATATCAATTATTACTGATGCAAAATAGACTGTAATGTACTACATATTCAGTAAAAAATCAGACTAGGAGCATGTGTTGATACAGTGAAATTAATCTCATTACAAGGTACTGAAAGGTTGCAATAAAATGTTGGAGGAAATAGTGATTTTTTTCCACATAAGAAGCATACACCAGCAATAGTCTTGTTTCAATGCCTTTTGCAGCCATGCAATGTGCATGATGGGAATAAAGCAGATATTTCTATGACAATTTTCAGTCATTTGGATGACTTTGGCCAACAGATGACTGGTTTAGGGAGGCCAACTGAGGGCAAGGAACTTCACTTCACAACAGAGGAAAATTGGTAAACAGTTGTGAAGAGGAAAAATGGTAAACCTAAACATGCATTTTACTGCCTTGTTCTTTCTAGGAAGGTGCACGTTGTTGACTGTTGTTCTTCTTTAGAATCTTCTCGAGTATATGATAGCTCAGTGCTTTGCTATAGTGCGTCACATTATATGCTTAATCACAAATGTTTGGTTTCCTCTCTGCAATTTCAAGGCCAAAGGTTGATATAGCAGAACAATCCATAACCCTTTACTAAGCAACTTCAGCCAAAAGTTTCAGCAGAATCGATTGCATCTGAAGGACTGATAATGAGTGATACTTTTCTACTCGTTGGTTACAATGAATCATATTTTGAAACATAAAGCCAAACCCATACAGATGGCACAAGTCCTGCTTTACTCGGTGGCATGAAGCAAAGAGACTTCAGTTATAGATCCCTTCAAACATATTAGCTGATGAATACAATTAAATATTTCAATGGCGCCCCTCAAAGTCCTGATACTAATGGGGCTGACCATGCATGTGAGAATACTAAGGACAGGTTGATTATGGAAGGGATTTCTGTAGATTAAACTTGTGGCCTGTACACCACTGATGCTGAAATGATTCAAACAAGTGTTTCTGCAGTGTACTTTATGTTCAACTCATGGATATCCTGCAAACAGAATCTTGGGATCCAAAACAAACCTTAAGAACTGTGGACCTTTGGCAGCTGTGAAAAAAATGCACCATGCCTGTGAATCTTAGCACGAATTGAATTGTTGTGTTATGGCTTTACTTAGACACGTTTGAAAAGAAAGGAACATGAGAATCTTCCATGAGGACCATATATCTTTTCATTACTTTCTTCCATCAGTTATTCGACTGCTTTCAGAGGTAGAATCATCTTTGAGGTTTATAAATGGTTTACGTCTATAAACCAAATACTTTGATGTTAGGTGCATGTATTGAGGAAACAATAAGCAAGGTACTATTAACTAATATCTTCCTAAGGAAACTATGAACAGGAAAGATAATATCCAACGATAAAGCAGTCACAAAGCACAGTATCACAAAGCAAGCCTGCATTATTCCTAATTTCCTAGAATAGGAAAGAGCCAAATAAGGACAGTGATTTAAGACAAGTAAAGAAGGCTTGTAAAGAAAAGCAAAGATTCAAAGAAAAGCTCTATGATTCAAAGAAAAGATTCAAAGAAAAGTGAAGATTCAAAGAAAAGATTCAAAGAAAAGTGAAGATTCAAAGAAAATAAGGCTTGTAAAGAAAAGTAAAGATTCAAAGAACTGCGTCAACTTTTGGAGACCCTGATTTAAGACAAGTAAAGAAAAAATATCTCCAGAGCTAATACAAGAAAACAAAGTACGCAAGGTATCAGCAAGAGGAACTAGGTTATGAGGTTAACACAAGTATCTGCACACTTGAGTCCAATATAAAGCTCTATGATTTACCTCTCAGAAACCCATAAATTAAAAGTTTACCTGTGTAGTAAGAGAAATAACAAAATCATCAGGTTCTTCTGCATCTTGGTCTTCGACATATTCCCTATTTGTCATTTCCTGGGTGAATTTATACTCATTTCATTACTTCCATCTTGCAAATTAGTACGAGTCCAAGTTTTCATCAACATTAAACACACGTGATCACAAACCTGCACGTGGAAAATTGTTTCCAATTGCATTTCCAGGCGTAGAACCTTCAGACAATCAGTTGCAAGTCTTCGGTAATCATCCGAAAGAATTCCAAGATTTTTAGTAAGTGCGCTTGCAGTCCGTGTATGGCGATGGCCATGGTGAGTATGGGTCTTGTCGTCTGTACGTGTTTGTGGCCTTACAAAAGACTCTCCAAGCCTATATTATGTATGAAAGAGTGAAAAATCAATGAAGCCCGTCCATTTTTGGTGGAAAGAAGTTGATAGACAATTCAATAAAAAGTCACAGTACTACTAATAAATGCTTAAAAGTTAATCAGCAAAACTGAACAAGGGTTGCTAATTTGCTATTAGGCCTGAGTAGATAAGGGAGCAATTTGCAAGGACAATTAAAAAAAAGTTTTTTGAATAAGACGATGGAGAATGATGTAAAGGGATGAACTTCTTCAGAGCAGTATAACTCACTAATATTAATTCTAAAGCAGACATTGTGAAAGAAATTTGGTTGAAACGAACTAACGACACATAAAGACAGTGAAATCCATTGACTTCACTGTTATGGACATCAGATTAAAAGTTGTGAATTTTAACTTAAGTGGCAACAGAAGAGAAATTATTATTCAGAGATGTGCAAAACACTGACATAAGAAATTCCAATCCACAATAGAATTTCTAATTCTGTGATTTAGAGATTTGCATAACCATCAAAATGACGATAAATTCATAAGGACTATTTTAAACATTTAGTTAAAAAAAATTGTAAATATGTGTATATCCAGACACACCAATACCATTTTACTGAAAGTCAAATTCCTGAAATCAGTCAGTGTCTGATAGTGCTTAACATGAACCAGTTTTACAGAACTGTTCAAAATTACAGAATCAAAGATCTTTTAACTTAATGTATATTCCTTACAAGATTTCGACACAAAGCTGTTCACCTTGCGATCACATTTTAACCTTAGAACTTATACACAGGTCTTAGAGACAAGAACTAACTTATCCAGCGCATGTTTGGCTATTCTAAAGTTATAATCCACTTGGGCGATAATCCATTTGTAGATTACAATCCAAGTGGATTATAATTTTAGGTGTTTGGTAAAGAAGGTGGTTTGTAATCTATGTACCTTTTGTCAAAATGCCAAAAAGAACCCTTAAGAGAGGGAGGGGAGAGAGAGTTCGATGTAAAAAGCAATGGGCATTTTTGCCTTTTACTAGGCCAAACATGTGGCTTATAATTCACCAAAAAAATAACCTAGAAATCCTAGGTTATTTTTTGATGGATTATAATCCAAAACAATCCACTCAAAATGTGGTTACCAAATTTTGAGTGGATGATTTTGGATTATAATTCACCAAAAAATAACTAGGATTCCTGGGTTATTTTTTTGGTGGATTATCGACCAATTTGCAAAATATGTTCCTAGTTTAAGTTTTCTGCCACCTCTACTTGAAGTCAGTAATATGCAATAAGAAAACTGGAAAAGCATCCAATCTCCTGTGACTTTAGGATACATGATCTGTTGAAATCCAAGTAAACAGTTCAAGTAAGAAAAAAAAAGAACGTCTGCACACAGTTTACAGTATAGGTAGCCAGGTGACAGTTAACTGAACAGGGCAAACTCTGAACTCCTGTCAGAAAAGCTAGCACTTTAAGTCTTTAAATGCACATCAATTTTGAAATGATATATCAAACAATGCAGAATTAACACTTAATACATAATGCAGTACTTTACTGTTACCTTTCAATAGAATCTGCCAAATATTCTAGAGAATCACTAAGAGATGCCAGCAAAATGAATTTGTGATCATCGCGGATTAATTGCTCCTGCACACAAGAAGAAATACAGTTTCTCTTAGGAAGGAGTGCATCTCACTAGTCAAGCATTTGAACTAAATAACATCCAAAAAGAAGTACCTCCTCTAAGTAACAAGAAAGTGTGAGTTGTGCAGGCTAATGTATTACATAACAACCATGGTATAACAGGTTCTCAAGCATTTGACCTCTAATTACAGGTTTATCATATAACATAGAACTAGCTAGCAACATGTAGGCCCCTGGATATTTATTTACTTAAATCTGTAACTTCCGCAGCAACAAAATCTTTTTTTTATTACTTTTTAATAGACTAGAACATTTGTACAAGAGTGCAGAATGAAATTGAATTACAATAAACACTACATGAATGTGTATTTCTAGAGAAAAAACATTCTCTAAACTTTCAGAAATACCTGCTTAATTGGACGTAAGCTCAACAGTAAGTCACTTATTCCTGTTTCTGCTTCAAAAGTTTCGGCGTTTGAGAAATTTTCTTCAAAAAAGGAATTTTGCAAACAAGCATTGGCTGGATCAAGCTGCATCAGGTTCTCGACATCATTTCTTCCAATGAGCATATAGCTCTGCTTTTCAAGGACAGCCTGCACATTTCTTATTATGAGTAAGCCAGCATATCCTAGCAAAACATGACATTTATAACAGTTAAGATTAAAAAAATAAACCGCTTCAAGGATAAAGCTGATAAAGCTTAACCTTCATATGGAGATAGAAGATAAATGTACTGGGAAGCAAGGCGGCCGGCAAAAATTATCCAACAAATCATTGCATCAGCACAATCAACCTATAACTATAACAGTAAATAATTTTCACAAATATCATGGATGTTTAATAAATGATCTTACACTGCGAGCTTCGGAAGATTCCTAACCCTCCCCCCAAACCCCCCAACCCAAAAGAAAAGGATCATAATCGTCAATTGCACTTCTATTACAAGCATTTAGTAATATCTTCAAATTGCAAAGCCTCTCCTCAGAACCATCATTTTTGGAATTTAATACGTTACAAAATTATATACATAGGTGCACCCAACACACAATTACACAAATACTGAACATTTCCAATTTATCCACTGGTATAAGTTTTCAGTGTGTTCTATTTAATTGCTTTTTATTTGTTAAGCATTCTTTTAATTTGCGTTGGCTTCAAAATAATGTTAGAACCATCATATTTGATGTTCGATACATTACAAATTACATATATAGCCATAGGTGTGCCAAAGACACAAATACACCCAAAAAAACCCTGGTAAGTTTTCAGTGTGCTCTCTTTAACTGCTTGCTATTTGCTAAGCACTCCTATAATTTGTGTTGGCTGCACAAAACTATTATCCTCAGACCATCATATTTGAGTTCAATACATTATAAATTATATACAAAGTTGTGCCAAACACCAAAAAAAAAATTCCAATTTATCCACTGGTATAATTTTTCAGTGTGCTCTCTTTAAAAACTTTTTGTTTGTCAAGCCTTTCTCTAATTTGTGTCGGCTTTAAAAAAATGTTCTTTGTAGTACAGTAACATGTTTAACGTAAAATTGTGAGTATGAAATTCTTTTAAAGTGCTCAAAATGTTGAAATTGGGAATCAGAATGAGTTCGACTAAAGTATCAATCATCAATGATATATGCACATAATCATAAAGGGAAGAACCAATTGGAAACTAGTACAGTTTGATAACAGGATTAAGAAAAAGAAGCTGATGCTAATAAGCATTGCAAAGAAGTACGAAGACACCAACCACTTCTAGAGTAGCTAAATACTTGTACATTGTGCACTTTCACAAACATTTGGTCTTCCTCCCAGTATGAGCCAAGCCTGTCTCTAGACCAATATGAATGTGTTTTTTCTTGTTTGGGAAAAGAACCTATATGCGTATGTACTTGTACATAAAGATATTACATGTACTTAGAATTTTTAGGCGCTGCTATGGATAAAACATATTTATTGTGTCAGATCAAAGATTCCTCTAGATTGGCATAGCAAAGCTGCCATTGGTTAGTTAGTAACAATCCTGATATAGTTTTCAACTAGTTTCCCCATTCCTTATCAAATTTGGACAAAAGTTAACTATTCGTGCTTGTAGACATGTAAAGTTTTCAAGAAATTTTTTTTTATTAAATACAGATTATGCTGCATCATGACCTTAAATGAGCAGCTTTAGTAGTTTGATCACAAGAACTACTCCGTGATGGCATACCAAGGATGCAAACAATTCACAAACATGAAAAGTTACGTGATTCAGTAATTTTCCTGGTCCACGAGAACAGTTGAGAAATTTTACTCTTGAAGTAGGTGAGATATCTCACAACTCACAAGCGTATAAAATATTTATAATTTTTACTCGATGAATTGGAGTTTTCAAACCCCTCTCTCTAGGAGGATCAATGTTACATTAAACGCTGGGCGCTTCTAGGCGTCGGACTTGACGCCCAGCACTTAGTCGCCTAGGCGGGCGCCTAAGCGGTTTCTGGGCGTTTTTTTTTTTTTTTTAATTGTGATACTTGAAGATAAATATATATATACTCAATCAAATATGCATAAATACTAAAATACCAACACTATTAACTAAATTGCTTGGTTTACCAATTACAATAGCTCTTTATATGTTTATACTTCTCAACTCAAATTATAAGTTCATCTCAACTCAAATTACAATATGTATTAAATTCATATAAATTTTCAAAAAAAGATAGCAATTTAGTTCCACAATAAATCATGCATACTTAGATACTAAATAACCAAAATAATAATTAACAAGGCTAGAGCCTAAGATGTTTTCTTTTTTATTTTTAATTACAATAATTGATAGTGAATGTCAATGTTACAGAAAGCTTAGATGTCGGACTGGTGTCTAGACGGATTTTTTTCTTCATTTAAGTGGTGGTCAATGAGGTTTTGTTGAAGGTCGGAGGAGGTAGTGGAGGTGTTCATATTTGAAGGTTAATGGAGTTTGGAGGACGTGTAAGCTACAACACATAAAATCACAACCAAGGCCTACAGGGTGCAATCCACGTAAGCAGGCAATACTCCCCTAAACGCTTGTAAAATCTAGGTGGGCAGCCTAAATACCGCCTAGACGCTAGGCTCTAGTTAGACGACCTAGGTACCGCATAGGCCTAGGTGAACGCCTAAGCGGACTAGGCGGAGGTTTTTTAAAACAGTGAGGAGGATATTTAACAGTCTTTTCCTCCAAGTTCAATTTCCCTTACATTTCCTTAACATAATGTGTTTGGTTAGAATTTAGCGTCTAAACTACAGCATTGTTTGTAGAGTTAGAAATCAACTTGGAGACCTATTCAAACCCTGACACAAGCGGAACGAACTCAACTTTAACTTAGTTTGAATTCCAAGCCACATGTGAGTGACACATAACTCTGAGACCAACTTAAGCTTAACTTGTGTCTTGTCGTGACCTGAGTCACAAAACCACACTAACTGTGACCTGACCAGTGGCGGAGCCAGGAATGTCAAAAGAGGTTCAAAAAATAAATAATTAACCAGGATATTTTGCGCGATGGATAAATATTTAAACATCATTACATAACGAGTTAATTCTAGTTTTACTCATGCATATAATCACATATCATGTGGGGGTTTTCTCTGTTAACTTGAGATGCTCCTAATTACACTCCTCTATTTCATAATTCACACACTTGTTAAAAGTTAAACTATAATACTTTTGTCTCATGATTCAGATGTCCTCAAAGTATGGGACAAAGTAAAAATGACGCTATCATGGCTACTGACTACAATAACAAAAGACTAGCCAAAGTTTCTCGTAACTTATTATCTGTACTATGCAATTACAATCATCTCCTAAAAATGCAATGATCTTAAAAAATCATCTCCGAAAGCTTAAAATGCAATGATTTCTCACCTTACAATCATCTCCTAACACTAACTTTTGATTGTTGATAAGTCTATTTGTCACATACAATAACAAATTAATAGCTATAGTGGAAGGTTCCAGTTGTAATGACAATACTGTTTACAAACTTAGAATCTATATTATGCAATTAATATTACAATTTTTACCCAATACCTCTTTAGTTTTTCATATTTCAAGGGGGGTCAATGGACCCTTTAGACACTACTTGGCTCCGCCTCTGGACCTCACCAAGGGGGGTCCATGGACCCTACTTGGCTCCGCCTCTGGACCTGACCACTTAAGAGGCGCCCACATGAGGAAGCAAATAAACTTGTTATCTGCTGTATAACTTTAATGTTAAAGAAATATTACCATGGCCTCAATGTTACAATTTATTAATACCTTTTCAGTAATTATTGCTATCATGTGTCGTCCTCTTATTAACCCCCAGTTAAATTTGAGTGCAAGCTATCCACAACTAAACTCTACTGCCCAGAATCTGAGTAATCAAAGCAAGAGGTAAGACATTTGACTCATGACTAGGAGGCTGGAAACCAAGACATGTAACATAACGGGATAGGTGAAAGGGACATCTCCTAACACTAACTTTTGATTGTTGATAAGTCTATTTGTCACATACAATAACAAATTAATAGCTATAGTGGAAGGTTCCAGTTGTAATGACAATACTGTTTACAAACTTAGAATCTATATTATGCAATTAATATTACAATTTTTACCCAATACCTCTTTAGTTTTTCATATTTCAAGGGGGGTCAATGGACCCTTTAGACACTACTTGGCTCCGCCTCTGGACCTCACCAAGGGGGGTCCATGGACCCTACTTGGCTCCGCCTCTGGACCTGACCACTTAAGAGGCGCCCACATGAGGAAGCAAATAAACTTGTTATCTGCTGTATAACTTTAATGTTAAAGAAATATTACCATGGCCTCAATGTTACAATTTATTAATACCTTTTCAGTAATTATTGCTATCATGTGTCGTCCTCTTATTAACCCCCAGTTAAATTTGAGTGCAAGCTATCCACAACTAAACTCTACTGCCCAGAATCTGAGTAATCAAAGCAAGAGGTAAGACATTTGACTCATGACTAGGAGGCTGGAAACAGAACAATAAAGCAAGTCTGTTTTCTGAAATCAGTCTATATCGACCAATTAGAGGTTATCCTTTCTGTCATCCTTCCCATCATAGCTTCAAGAATTCTATGCAGCAATTAATTAACTATCATATTCTGAATTTAAGCCACCACAAGAATCTAAAGTAAATAGAAACAATCCAAAACGTGCGCGAGACTCTCCCCTGCACTAGTTGAAGCAGTTAAGAGAACAATAAAGCAAGTCTGTTTTCTGAAATCAGTCTATATCGACCAATTAGAGGTTATCCTTTCTGTCATCCTTCCCATCATAGCTTCAAGAATTCTATGCAGCAATTAATTAACTATCATATTCTGAATTTAAGCCACCACAAGAATCTAAAGTAAATAGAAACAATCCAAAACGTGCGCGAGACTCTCCCCTGCACTAGTTGAAGCAGTTAAGCCTTCTAATTTTGACAGTTAAAACGAGATTATGTTTCTAATGATTAACCAGATCAGAGATATATCCTAGAATTCTTTAGAGAATAAGAAAAGAACTACTGACCATGCGTGCATATCCATGATAAGAAAATTCAATAAAACTCTTTTAAGTAATAAATACACAAACTCCTTTTGATATTAACCTTCCCAAAGAGGATATATGCTTTAAAGGTTTTACCTTTAGAATGGAGCAGAGAAAAGTTCACTCATGAAGTTTCTGACAAAAAGGCGGCTTGCAAATATTATAAAGCATACCTTTTCCTTGGAGAACTAAAGCCAATACCAATCAAAAACTGCAAAAGTAAGATGAAGAGAAACCGTGTAGTGCTCCCAGAAAATGACTTAAAAGAACAGGCCTCGAAGCGGCATATGAATGCAAAAAAGTCAAAAGAACCAAATACTTCAAACATCAACTACAATATCCCCTTATAAAACTATAATCTGTGCAATAATCATTCACACAGGACAGTAATGCAAAAAAGGAATAAAACGAACTTCCAGTCTCGTCTCAAATCTAATTCAACTGGAATTTGCAAGAAAATATGCATAACTTTCTATATTAATAGTAATCTTTTTTTAATCATAAATGGAATTGCGATAAAAAAGAGGGGCTAAGGGTTAAAAATTAACTACATATCATACAACACAACTAAATTGAAGCACAGCAATCAATCTATATTACAGTAAAGTAGTGTCAGCATATGGAACTATTTCCATCTTATGAGAAATCAAACTTCATGAAATTAAACAAAATATTACTGAGCTTGCAGAATGTTTCAGGTGCTCAAGATACTTCAAAATTATATAATAGTATGATTAGCCACCATAATAACAATTTACATTGGTACCTCTGTGAATGCTGTTCGACATCTCTCATAAGCACGTTCCAGAAAAGTGTGGACATACTCAACAAGTTCACAAGCATATTTTGGCATTAACTGTGCCCAACCAAGAACCTAAGACGAAAGACATGATTTGAACATTTTGAGAACCCGACAGCTTAAGATGATAAATGAGGACACAAATATTATAGAGATGCACCTCTTTTGCTAACAAATCAGTAGCTAGAAGACCTTGCAAGACAGGGCGCCCTCTCTCTACTAAAGGATTATATACTGAAACATGGGCCCTTGGCCTGAATGCTGCTGGACCTGGAACAGAAATTCCATGGTCAGATCAAGGTCTACATGCTGACAGAATATACTAGAATGATAAAAGTCCCATCAAACAGAAACAAGGTCACAAATTTTCTCCATTCTAATCAATTGAACGAATAGCATCCTTCACTCATTCTGATACAATAGAATATGTATGAAAAACGATATATGCTACCAAGAGCATATCTCAGTTTTCTTGTTTTTTATCCTCTGTGGATAACTTTTCAAGAGGGTCTTGGTTGTTTACAATGGAAGATTGTTTTAAAATTATTTAATTTTAGACTCCAATTGTCATGTTAAGAACTTTTACGAATAAATAGGATAGTCCTATATTCACGCACCATGGTAGAATGAGGTTGTTGAAAGGAAAGAAAAGGTAACCTGAAGTTGCCGGAACCTTGACGATTCATACGATTGTTCCAAAACCCTTTTGGGGTGGGATGCACTTTTAACAGTTTAATTAATTCAGTTTCTTCTTATGATCTTAATGATATAACTTATTTCTGATCTTCATCCTTAAAATTTATTGTTTGTTTAACCTTCATATTTTCTTGCTCATTATGTTTACATTTAGAAAAGGACATGAGAAACTTGACCCTAGGCCTGTAACATTTCTTGGTTTGTTATTCACGTGTACAAAAAGGATATTGTTCTCAAACTCATAGTAATGTGGTTTGTCTTGATGTAACATTTTTTAAATACACCATTCTTCTTCTTTTCCACAAATCATAACAGGATCACTGACTCACTTGAGATAATGTTGCATGCTCAATTCTGAGACCTATTGCTAGCAACCCCTTAAGTTTTATTGGAGGAGGACCAAAGCTACTACTGATCCACAATCCATACCTCCTTATCACTCCTTCAGCAAAGTTTCGGAACTCACCATTACCCTTAAGAGAGGTAATCACACTTCAACTAGAGATTCTATTGATGATTTTCTCCCTTTCTCATTAACATTCTAAGTATTGTAGCTTTGCATTGTCTAGTATTTCTACTTTTAAAATTACCGTAACATTTTTATTACCTCTCGGTTTGATAAGTATAACAGACAAAGAAGTGGTAATGTTGAATTTGGTTAACAATAGAACTCGGAGATTCATTACTTAACTCCAGGAAAGCAGATTGTTGGTTGCTTCTTGGGTGTATATAGTGAAATATTTACAAAAGGGGAGGTTGAGCATTGAACGCAAGGTTAGTGGGCAAAGAGCAGGTGTAGAAATCAGGTCACGTCGAGAGGGTACAAATACTGAGTATTCGAGCTCGAATTCGAAAACTCTAGATATGGATTCGATTCTGGTTCAGATTCAATCATTTTTAACAAATGCAAATGCGACAACTTAAGGGAGCGTTTGGTAAGTGGAGTGTTTTTTTGTTTCCGTGTCTTTTTTTAAAAAAAAAATCAACCAAATGCGTTTGGGAAGTGAAGCGTTTTTTTAAGCTGACCGTATACAAAAATAAAAAGTCCAACGGAAATCTCAAAACACCATATTGGTGTTTTGAGATTTCTGTGGTTTTTTCTCCCCAAACCCATCTTCGCCGACGACTCCAACCTCTCCTCCCCCCTCCTCAAGATCCTCCCTTACTCCATCTCCTCACTCTCCTCTCCCTCCCAATCCGTCAGCAAATTGGTAAAATCCCCCAAATTCTAGGGTTTCTCCAAAACCCTAACCCTAACTCCTTCCTACTTTCCATTGCTAGGTTCTCGAGATTTTGAGTCATGTGAACAAGCGAGTCAAGCATCGGCCGGAGATCGGGCTGCCGTTCTCGGAGATATGGAGGGTTTACTGTGAGCTGTTGGTGGGTCTTGGGAAGCTGCCTCAATAGCATCAAGATATCATTTTGATGATTGTTGCAAAGGTATGAGTGGTTAATTTTAGCTGCTTCATGAAAATCGTTAGTAGTTTGGTCAATGTAGAAGATATTATTTTGGTAACAATTAATTCTAACTTATGTTGCTTATTCAAGAAATTATTTGAACTATGAATCTGCTCTGTGATTATTGGACTGTGTCTTGCATGTAATTGAGCAAGGATGCATAATAATTGAGTTTGACAAAATTTTCCAGTTTTGAAAACACCGTTTGAAAAATAAACACCTTGGTATGGTGTTTTTAAAAAAAACACAACAAAAAGAAACACTTTGATTACCAAACGCTCTTAGTATTCGATTCGGTCGTTTACCACCCCTAGTTACGACAATGCTACATCATCTGAACTCCTGACCAGTACCTAATCACCCTGACCAAACCCAAAACAGAACCAAACAACCTTTCAAACCCCCATAAACAAATCTAGTCACATCTATCATCAATAATAGTCAATGTCCAGTCAGAACAGTCCCCCAATGCAGCTAAATCATGTTTAGATCAGAGCCCTCTCAACCCGACGACACCTCGTTCGGCATTAAGAATCCTCTTCTTGATACTGGAAGATGTATGACGTTCAAAAGCTAACCTCAAGGATAGTAAATCCTTTAGATCTTATATTTGTTGTCAATCTGATTAGTCGATTCACACCAAATCTGCATCAGCTCCATTGGATGTTGCACATTGCATCTTAAGACATCTGAAAGGTTCTTCAAGTAAATGTTGGTACTTTCGGCTATTAAAAAAAATCAGATTCCAATGTACATATGCGACTGTCTTGATTGTCAAAGGTTACCATATAGTCATTTGAGGTAATATTTGCAATATAAATGATTAAGAAGCAATTTAAGATTGCTAACTCTGTCTTGATTGTCACTAATGGTTATCATATACTCATTTGAGGTAATCTTGCAATATAGACGAGTAGGAAGCAATTTAAGTTTGCCAAATCTGCTGATGAAGCAGAGTGTTGAACAATGGCTCACTCAACACATGAAATAATGTTAGGTCGAATCTCTATTAAAGGAAACATGTGTTGTTTGTCGATTCATCATCATCTGGTACTATGTTTTATAACAACCAGGTAATAAATATCACAAAAAATCTAGTTTTTCACTAGCTTCCTAAAGATATTAAATTTGACAGCTTTTTTTTTGGATATGGTTATGCAGAAAAAATAATAATTCTACATATTTCTGGAATCTAGTTGATCATATTTTCACAAAGGTGCCATCTTGGAAAGTTTCTCTAGTCTACATCTAGGTTTCCACTCAAGTGTTAAGGTTAATTCTGCAATTTCCTATTATTTTTCATATTTATATATTGAGATCCATATCCGATTAGGACTGATCCTTCTTTCTCCTGATTTTTCTCTAAACAGGCTACATAACAACCAGATGTCAACTTGACATCAGCTCAGCAAGAATATTACAAAATTGGTGAAACTTCACACAAGTAGAAAAAGGTTCATTTTGTGAGAAATAGTCTTTAGACAACTTTGGAATGTAATTGTTTTAAAAAAAACTACCTTATCGCCTTTATCCGTAGAGGTAGTTCAACAGTTAAATGGAATAAACCATTTCAATCACAAGCTTTTTATAGAACGAGCTTTTTTCCACAAGATAACAATATCTTTAAATATTAAATATCCTTCTGTTTTAGTCACTATGTTCCCATAATAGTTATATCAGCTATTATTGGTGGTATTCACCACTGTTTAAAAAAGCCTCCGCCCGCCTAGGCGTATGTCTAGGCCTAGGCAGTACCTTAGCCACCTAACTAGCACCTAGCGTCTAGGCGGTACCTAAACTATCCATCTAGATTTTGGGAGTGTTTAGGAAGGCATTGTCTGCTTACGTGGACTGCACTCTTTAGGCCTTGATCGTGATTTTCTATGTTGCGGTCTCCACGTCTTCCAACCTCCTTTAACCTCTAAATATGAACACCTCCACTACCTCCTCCGACCTTCAGCAAAACTTCCTCGACCACCATTTAAAAAAAAAATAGACACCAGTCTGGCATCTAAGTTTTCTATAACATTAATATTTACTATCAATTATTTTATTTAAAAAATAAAAAAAATAAAATCTCCTAGGCTCTTGGTAACGGATCCAACGCCTAGGCCTCCTAGCGCATTCTATAACCTTGTTAGTTATTTTTATTATTTAGCATTTAAGTATGCATGGTTTATTGTGGATCTAGGATTGCTATCTATTTCTTTTTTACAAATTTATAAGAATTTAATACATATTTTTATTAATTATTATAATTAAACTATTTTAAAAATAACCAAACGCCTAGGCGTCTAGGTGCTAGGCACTGACTCAAACGCCTAGTCTGCCTAGCGCCTTTTGTAACATTGGTATTCACGAGTTTAATTGGCATGAAAATGCATGACTGTGACCCAATACGATATGATTGATAATTTAAACCATGGTTAGCAGTTAAGCTAGTCCAAACAAATAACAACCCTCAATATACTCCTATACTAGGAAAATGTCCAGAAGCAATAGGAAAAAGGAAACATTATCATAGGGATTCAAGGCACAAGTAAAGAATATATGTGTAGTATTGATTATCCAATACCTGATCCATTAAAATGTGTCAGTTATTAAGCACAACTATAACTCAAAGGAGTTTCATGAAAAGGATAATTTCGATATTTGCAAACTGCTCCATATCTATTACACAATCCTCGATCCATTAAAATGAGTCAGTCAGTAAGCACAACTACAAATCAAGAGAGCTTCATGAAAGAATAATTTCTAGACGTACAAACTGGTCTCAATCTGACACTAAGACTTTTTGAATATTGTCCACGTTCGCTGCAGAAGAACTTCCACCCAAAATAAGCTGAAATAGCACGAAGCCACCTCCACTTTTTCCATCAAACTCGTCCTATTATAAATTGCGAAATATCTCTTCTAACCTAATTAACATTTGAAATGATGGAATTCATAACCAGTGAGACTTACTAGTCCATAACTAATTCTCACCAAGGTCTCATTTCACCTCCCCCAATAAATTGCATTACATATGCTCTTAAATTTGACATGAGGCCTTTCTCCATCATCTACGCGTAGCAGGGGCAAGCCTTCCTCTACACATTTAGGATATCAGGGGCGATACAAAAGTTTGCACTACCTCCCCATAAATTGCAATAAATATTCTCTTAAATTTACCCTCCAAGGCCTTTTTCCACAATTCTATGAGTAGAAGGAGAACCCTTCTATTCAATTATGGGTCTAACAGGGGAACCATTCACTCACTCACTCCTTTCAACATACATCTAAGAGTAGCAGGGGTAGCATCAGTGTAGGAGGGTCATCTAAAACTTTCCTTTCTTCCCTCTCTGCATACAGGCTCATAAACAGAGAAAAACAAGTATATGTCAATTCATATCGCAGTATGCAAAAGAAAAGTAATATGGTATGTACAGTTAGTATAAATCTTGATTTTAAGAAGAGGCATATAGCAATAAAATAATCTATTTAGAGGTGTAAGTTGTTGTGATTAAATTATAATAACTTGAGTCATCATATGACAAGATAGTTCTAAGGATTTATGTCTAAAATTTTTAAAGGG